TCTCTAAAATAGGCTAGATGAATTACTCAATAGAAGTGCTTATTTCTCTACTTGGTAGTTTCCCGCATGTGGTCAGGTGAATCATTCCTGAAAATTTCTGCGTTGTGCAACTTACTGACCTGGTAGAAGGCACCTACAATCTCTGCAGGTGGAGCAGTGTAACCACATTAGTGTCCTGAAGGATACGAACTAAAAGAGACTGCTTTCCAGAAGGACTTCTGAATTTCATGAGAGTACAGTGCCAGTTGTGGCTTACAGGGTCTCGACCATGTCAGGCTAAAGCAAGTCGTATGGCATGGCCAGTCATATGGCCTTCAGTCAACTTTTTCCTCTTCGTGACACATTTTTTGTGTATCAGCTCCTGCCAGTGTCCTTTTTGGTTCAAAAAACTACCAGGTCTGCTACATAGCCCTCAGAGTCTGTTGAATTAGATTTTTTTTTTAAAAAAAGTCTTCTAGCAAGCTTCTTCCAGCTAGTCAGCTACTGGATTGAACCTGCAAATTTCAACCTCTGACCTTAGAGAATGTCCTCATATATGTGCCAGAAAGGCGGTACCTCCATGTTTCTCTCTCATTTTAGTCTAATAGCTGCCCTATGAGTTTTCTTGAAATGCTGCATGGGACAGAAGTTCATGTTCACAAGACACAGACAAAAGTCCTGGCTAATATTTGCTGGCGGGAGACTTCTCTTCCTTACTAGCATCTCATGTTGGCAGCGTGCCGGTAGCTTGTGTTAGCAGAGAGACGTGTCACCATTGCAGAATTGCCACGTGCTGGGGAATGGGGTGCCTGTACTTTGCTAGTGCCCATGAAATTGCTGTAGATAGTAGACAGACTTTGAGGTAAAAGTGGAAATGGTTTGCCCAACTGAAGTGAAGAGTGTAAGAAATCAATTGCTATACTTAAAGACAGATACAGAAAAGTGGAACAGTTACAGTCCTTGCTGTTACTGCTCATTCAAGTCTGGCTTCAGCATGATTTCTTTTCCTCTGTTTTCTTTTCAGCTAGCAGGCTCAAGCCAGACTAACTCCCAGGGTGACTGACGGTTCCCTGGAGATGGGATCTGGTCCTTCAGCTAAGCTTTGTCTTTTAGATGTGTCTTTCCCAAAATAGATTCTGATTTGGGATGAAGTCACCCCTTCTGTCTTCCTTATTTCTGCATAGCATAAATTCATCCTCATGGCCTTATGCATTTCTGGATAAATCTAACCAATTAAAAAGGCATCAGATTTTGTCTCTGATGCCCTCATCAAAAAGCAGGCCCTTGGACTGTGCCTTTCAGCTGAGTGGATGTGGCTAGGCTTCACACTTATTTGACCTAACCTATTTACACATTGCAATCCCCAGCGGGCAGATAACGGAGGGACGGTTACATTGCCACTGTGCTTAAATGCATAAGCTGTGTCCAGCACAGAACTTCAAAAGTACTTGCTATGAGTGATGAACATGAATCATTGATAAAAACAGGTATGATGGAAAATAAATTGAGGGATGGTTTGTGTCTAAAGTGAATGGACCATAAGCATAGTTTGTTGGAACCGGGGAGACACAATGATGGCATTTTCCTACCTGGATGCATGATTGCACAATGGATATTAGAGGTGTCAAGAATTCGGTCTGAGTCATTGGAATATCGGAATAGTGATAAACTACCTGAAATGCAGATATATGCCAGTGGGGAAGTGTACACACATGAACCCTGTTGGACAGAGCTCAGTACAGAACCTTCGTGCCTCAAGGCAAGGTCATAGAAATCATTGTGGTGACAGCAAGAGATGGGAACGACCACCTGAAACTTCTGCTGTAGATGGTACGGTACACCTACCCATGTAGGTGCCAGATGTTCCCATGATGGTATGGCACATCTACCCATGTAGGTGCCAGATGTTCCCATGTCACACCTCCAGGAGAAGCAGTCCCAGGGAACCCTGGGCTGCCCAGTTCGTACTGCTAGTTTCAAGAGTTGAGTTTTCCAAGTCTTGTTGTTTTAGACCAGTGATTTTATTTTAAGGTACACAAGGGATCAACACATCTAGCTGTCAAAGTTCAAACTGATTAATTTAAGGGAATATAATATGGTAAACAATTTTAGAAAGATTGGTTGCTTTTAGGGCACTTTTTGACTTTACCCGTGAAGCAGTTGTGCACTATTGCTGACTGCAAGCATTGCTTGTTCGTGCAGAAGGGTTAGGTTTGTACTTGTTACTGGTTTTACTTATCAGTTAAGCTTTTCTACCAGCAGAAGAGACACAGTCTAATGATTTCATAATGTTTAAGAAAAAGAAATTGTGCAACCTTTACAGTAGACTCTGAGGAACTGAAATTGAAGTGACTAGGATGTAAAATTTTACTGTCTTCATAGTGTATTTTATGTTTAATAGTAAATGTGCAGAACAACCAACTGAGTTGAATAGTCTGTGCAGTGCTTAAAAAAAGTGTGAAAAAAAAGTTTATTGTTGTCTGGAAGGGTGGTCAGCAGGATGGACGAGGTGTTTCTCTGCACAGCTGTTTTGTTATTAATCTGTGAAGCTGTGAGAAGCAGAGTGCTTAAAACCAGTCAGGTCTGTCAAAAGGAAATATCAGGAAGGAAACAGAAATGTACGCAGCTCACATGGCTGTTCTCATCAGGAAGGCAGGAAGATGCTGAGATGATAGATTTGTCAGCTAGTCTAAAGATGTGTTCCGATGTCAAATACATTAAGATACATTGCAAAAGATTTTTCCCTCTGCAGAAGCCTCAGAAAACTCTTTACACTGAAATAATCCCTAAATTTGAAGAAAGGGGAATGAACTGATATCGTCACTTCAGTGCTGTGAATAAATTTGTGTTCCTGTGTGCTTGCAAGAACTTGTCTAAAACTTCATTATTAGCAGTGCTGGCAAATACTGGATAACTTTGCTTGCATGATATCTGTGTTTATGCTGAGCGGAAGCTATGGGAAGTACAGGAATAGTCTTTCACTAGTAAAGATTCAGTTTCCCACAGCTTAAAAATTTTCAGGTTATGTTTGTTGCTTTTGTTCTTAAACAATTATTACTGTATTTTCAGTTTTACTTTAAGAGCTTTCTGTAGGACCTACAACTGTGTTTAAAGACACACTTCATAGAAGTCTCTTGATGACTTGTTCAATGAGTTGAATATATTTTCACTGAGAGACTTTTGGAGCTAGGCATCTTCAGGAGTTTCCTGGAGGATAATTTTGTATCCTGAAATATAGATAACTAGTCAGATAATTATATCTCAGTAAAGTCTTCTATAAATAGCTATTCTTGCTGTAATAATTAGACATACTTCTTCTAGAATTCACATAGCCTTTTGTCAATTCTTTGTATTTCTGCAGCTTTCAGTGCACAAGAAGATTTCCATTTGTTTCCCAATTAGAATTTATTTTCTTTTAAATTCTAAACATATGCTGTGGTATCCTTATGGGGCTGTTCTGTATCACCCTGGAACTTTGATTCCTGTGGTAATGGTAAAAAATGTACGCTTTGAGGAGTTTAAATATGAAGAAATATTTTTTTTATTTTAGCTGAAGGATTCATGCATAGAACCCTTTTTCATGACAGGACTAGGAGTTTTGGTCTTTGCAGTTCAATTTTTCTGTTCATTGCAAGCCACTAATATGTACAAAGCTGTAAGCATCTATTTGAAGAAAGAGAGTTTTTAAGGAGAGGCTTGAGTGGTTGTCAGAAGTAAGGACTGAGGGTATACAGGAAAGCATACCCTTTACAGTTCTAGTTTAATTGCATCCTTGGGTAGGTGACTTCACCTGATTCTTAGATTACAAAGGTGAAGTTCTCCTGGGACTAGGTGTCTCCAAGAGACCGGGGTCTGAGTGCTGTGGTTTGGGACCTGAGACAGCTGTTTATCACGGTTCCTGTTGTTTCAGTTTGTATTACCTGGAGATGGAAAACATATGAATCAGAGTTAAATGGAGGAACATTGATACTGAAGACCTGTAGCTTTCTGCCATGGTCTGAGTTTAACTCTAATTTTGCAGTGATGCACTGTTTAAAGAGCTGGTACTGTTTTAACAATTTCTGCAATCACTGCAGCTTTCTACTCAAGGAGATGCCAGTCAGGTGATTGGACCTCTCACAGAGGGTCAGAGGAGGAACGTGGCCGTGGTGAATTCACTGTACAAACTGCACCAGTCGGTTCTGAAGGTAGGCGTCCTTTGGTATTTCTCTTCTTGCCATAATGGTAACTCCTTTGCTCTATCGTATACATGTTCTCCCATTAGCTGATGAGAACACTGACAAATACGGCCCCATTTTGGGTTAAGAGCTGCACCTTGCTATGCATTTGTACAACTCTTTGAGACTTGGTTGGCCCTTGTAAGCATTGCTATGCAACAAATTGTCAATATTAGAAGAGGAGTGAACGCAAGAGAATAATCACGTCTCACAGCCGTTGTTTTCTGAGCCTAAACAATTGAACTCTTTCAGGTTTTTCTTATCAACTAAGTTCTTTGTACTGGCCAGCCTGATAGCCTTGTCTGCATCTGTCTCAGCATGAGCTTCTCTTTTGCAGAAGACCCTCACTGCTTTCCCATGATTGTGGCCAAACTGAAAAGGGGAAGGAAAGGGTGAGAAGAAAAGCAGCACCACACATATCTCCGTGCATTGTTGCTGTGACCAAAGTCTGGCCTGGAAATGTTTTCGGGACTAAGCAGAGTTATGGATAATTCCAATTTACTGGCTTAGTGATGCCAGTGGTTACACAGTCTCTGTAAATTAAACAGATATAGTGGTAGATGTAGTTAATTGTGTTTAACTCCTAGCCTGATTAGAAAAAAGATCATGAGTATTCCTGACTATGGATATGTTTAAAGAATGTAAAACAAATGCTAAAAAGCATATAAAATTTGCTTGGATTTTGCAAACAGATGGTAGATCAACTTTTAAGTCTGCTTTCTCTGATGTATTTAGTAATGAACCTCATGTGCCTTAGTGTTGGAGGGAGATCTGATATGATTCAGTCTTTGAGTTCAGTACTTATCTGGCTTAAAAACATTATTGTATAGCATATTCATAACTGTAAGGAAATTGGTAGAATGTTCCTTCAGATCATTCCTTGACTGTCAATTCTAATATCATTGTAGCTGTATATAAACAGCTATTTAACATGTAGTACTATAATAGTCATAATACTGAGAAAGAACAACCATTCTTTCAAATACTTGCTGTAGAGCTGCTTGTGTATTTCTCCACGAATTCTATACTTAGCAGAGGGATAATACGCCACTTATTTTTACTCTGATTCTGTTAATCCTTCAGCTAAATTTCAGTTGAACTCAATTGAATCATTTCTTTGCCAAGGCAGAAGCAGTGTCCATAGAAAATTTGAGAGCAAAGAACTGATACTGGTGCATTGAAAATTCTGTCTATAAAACACATTTGATATCTATACCTGTGTAAACCACTCATTACCAAGGATAACTGAGTATGTTTTTAAATGAAATTAAATATTATGGATTCTAATAATTTGTTGAATGTTGACTATTAACAATTACTTTAAAATTTGTAGGTCATTACCAACCAGAGCTCCTTTCCAGCAGCCGCTGAGCAAACAGTCACAACTGCGTTAAAGGTAATTGAATGTCCGTATGCTGCAGGGGTAGGGCTGAGCTTTGCTTTCTTTGTTACACTTAGAACGGGCACTTATTTTCCCAGGTATTATTTTGTGCAGTATATAGTTAGTTAAAGGTATACAAATATTCTGAAATTTACATTTTGTTGTAACTGCAGCTACATATATGTTGCATGTGCCAAATCTCTGCTTGAGCAGCGTTTGTATTCAGGAATATTCTCGTAATGGTTGGAACCCAGGTGTCAGCTGACTGTGAAAATAAATGTCTTTCTCTGCAGCGTTCACACAGCAATAACTGGATCCTTCATCATGCCCTTGCCCCCCCCCCCCCCCCTGATTTTTATGCTACCTGGTGCTTTTCTGGGGGGCGATGTGGCTGGCTGTGCAGCCTGCTGTGGATGACAGCTATCCACATCCATCCTGCTGTGCACTAATCCGGGAGGGGTTGTGTGCAGAGGGATGAAGGGCAGCTTGCGTGTCTGGGGAATGAACAGCTGAACCAAGTGTGTGCACCAAAACATGCACGTTTACAAACCAGGAAAAATTGTGGTGCACCTTTTTGAAGGAAGGGTTTACATACAAGTAGTAAACAGCCTTATTTCTGTACTTCACTGGTAAAATCAATTAAAGAGAAATGTTATCTTAGGCTTTTGTCCTTTTTAGCAGTTTTTAATGCAGAATAATGAAAAGCACTGTTGAAATGAACTGTTTGTCAAGGTATTTTGGAGGTGTCAAAATGCAAATGCTTCTAGTTGCTGTTTTCTTACTTCTGCCTTTTTCTAATTCTATTTTAGGCAGTCCATGATCTAATGGGTAGTGCTGTTCAACCATTACTGAACTCTGTAGGAGATTCGGTAGAAGCTATTATCATCACTATGCACCAGGAAGATTTTTCTGGGTAACTAGAAATATTTTTTACATTTACCATTGCTTTAGTAAGACGTCCAGCATATGCATAATAGATTGTTATTGCCACGATGTCCTTGGAGCAAGAGCGCTTGTTTGTTGAGGGGAAGGCGATGTTTTATGGTCAGTGAACACAGAAAGCAGAATTACGCCTATCTATTGAAACAAACGAATCAGGTAGCATCTGTCTTCTTCCCTTTTTTTTTTTTTAATGTCATATCTGTTGAGTAAAATTCATTTTAAATAGAAAAATAAAAACAAGCAGAGGCCATTTTGTGCTTAAAAAAAACCCTTTGCTTTCAAAACTTATTTTTTGTTGACACTCTTCAGAACTGTCATTGTTTGTGTTTCTCAAAATAAAGCATATAACCTCTGATTCAAAATTACACACAAATTTTTCTAAAGTATTATTGAGTATGAAATGGTTCAAAAAGTCCATTTTATTGAAAGCTCAGATTTAGTGTATTATGCTATTTTCCCATAGCAGTTCAATTAAAATTTCCAGTATCCTGTATCTGCAAAGATCTTGACTCTTGTCTATAATTGAGACTTCCTTCCTGAGTGTTATTTTGGTTGTTATCTCTGTTCTAACATTGCTTATATCATCATCAGATGTCCTGGTTTCTATCTTGGAAATTCACTGAAAATAGTATGTTTTCAGAGGTGTTCTAAATTTTCCTTTTGACTTTTTTTTAAAAAACAGTATTTTACCCTCTCCATCTTTCTTTTGCCACCACTAGCAAAGTACCTCTCTAGCTGGATAAACTGATTCCAGCCAAGGCTCAGTTTTGTTCCATGGCATGTATGCTCAGGTTGCTGACTTTGGAAGAGCTCTTTTGCCTGACTGTGATTCAAAGAAAGAGAAAAGTGATTGATTTCTGCGTCCTGTAGCTTCTGTGCTGCTTCTGTGATAATTAGATTAATTTTATAATCCCAGGTTTGGAGGAATCTAGGAAACAAATTCTATATGAGAACAGTCTTGGGATAGGCTAAACTAGTAACCCTGTGACATGTGCTTGTATTTTCTGATCCATTATTAGAGTTTCAAAATAACAACTGGGACATTTAAATTTTTAGGGGCTGGATTTGAGGTTTAGGCTCCAAGCTGGTGGAGGCTCTGCAAGTTGGGCAGGAGTGGGGTGATTTCCTTTATCTTGTTAGGATAGGAATGGCTAATAAAGAGATATTTTTTGACTACAGTTTCAGACCGCGCTACACATTCTTTATTCTGAGCAGAAATGAGACTCTGTAATTCATGCCATGACTTCATGGGGTAGGAAAAAAATTTAAAAGAATCCAGTAGTTTTTGGTTGTGTTTTAAAGATGAGTTTAGCTGTCCCCATTTCTTTTTTCTTTTCTTTTCTGTTTTTTTCTTTTCAGATCATTATCCAGCTCAGGAAAACCAGATGTCCCTTGTTCTTTGTACATGAAAGAACTACAGGGTTTTATAGCAAGAGTCATGAGCGACTACTTCAGACATTTTGAGTGTTTTGACTTTGTCTTTGATAACACTGAAGCCATGGCTCAAAGAGCAATTGAACTTTTCATTCGCAATGCCAGTCTAATAAGACCCCTCGGTGAAGGTGGGAAGATGCGGCTTGCGGCGGATTTTGCACAGGTACTCGTAATACTGATTTCTGCTTTCTACTGTTACTTCACTGTGTTTGCTGAAAAGTGTCAATACTTTTGTCCCCATCAAAGTATAAACAGGCAGTCATAGAGATCAGTGCATTCCAGTTCTAAACATCCTCTCTGATGAGATACTGCATCCTGAAAATGCATCCACTAAGTAGTTGAAGATCCCTTGTCACCGTAAGGCACATTCAGGGAGGTCTGACAGCTTCCTATCAAGTTACTGTTCCATTTAAATTCAGCTGCGTCTTGACATTTCATCCCGCTTGTCTGACCTCTTCGGTACGTCCATCATTTGCCACCATTCATTCACTTCATTCTTTCTCTCTCTTCTGATGGAATGGTGTGTCGCTTTCTTAATCGCCTTATATATCACAGTGCCCGCAGTGGTTAATCACTAACGCAGCTGTCTTGCAGTGTAGGAGACAAACTAAAGAAATACTAATATCCCGTGGAAGAACCGCCTTTTCGGTAACAGAAGGGCAGTTTTCTTGTGGGATTCTCTCCGTGACCTGATTGACCTACCTGCCTCTCAGCTTTACCTAGCTCTTGTACTGGACTAAAACATATAATAAAATGTCAGAGTAATATCCACTACTTGTCTGCATTATCTACTGTATTCAAATTTAATTCATCAATAGTAACACTCTGTGATTAACTTGCCAAAGAACACAGACATCCACTCGATTGGTCTGGGGGTCCTGGTTACTATTATCCAAGCAAAAAAGGGAGTTAGCACCAGCTGTCTGCATACTGAGCGCTGCTTTTGGCTGGTAGGTAACCAAGGTAGGAGAGGAATCACTGCCATCTCCGCTCCTGCTTGTGGCTGCTTTGTATCTTTTGTCTGTGAATTACATACTCCTGAGTAAGTTTTTGTATTCATTACTCAAACGTAGCAAATCAGCCTTTAGCCGTGGAAATTAAGAGGAAGTGTTCAATTGCTTTTAGTGGGAAGGTTCCGTTCCCTTCTTTATTTTGAAGACAATGACATAAAATTGGAAAACAAAGGAATCTTGACTCCTCCTCTGGAAGGAATATAGATAATTTTTGTAATTTATGCTGCAGTACTAAAGTTGTATAAATTTGGGAAATATCTTCACCTAATTCTACAGTAAAGAGCATCTGATCTAAGCACCTATTATAATAATACCAAAAATATAACTTGTTTATCTTTTTTAAACACTTATTTTTCTCATTCTGCCATGGGCTGCCTTTTAAGTGAAAACTGAAGGTATGTTTTCATCTGAGCGTAGGGGGATTTGCATGTCCTTCCCCACTGTGCTGAGTATAACTCCTGAATGGACAACTATGTAAAGATAAATGTTCTGATTTCTCTTCTTTTGTATTGTGGAAGAAAAAAACCCAGGTTTTGAATTCATTCTTGCCTTCTGCCTTCAACTGATGCTGCATCTGGAGATGCCTTATGTTTTTCTCATCTTCATATTGTACCGTATTTTTGGCTTGTTTAAAAGTGGGCTTAAGACAAGAACTGGCTGTGTCCAACCAGCCCCATTCAGCCACCTCAACGCTCACTCTGTGCCTCAGCATCTCTGCACTGAGCTCCTTAGGGCTTCCCAGGCTGCAGAGGGGCTGTAGTGTCCAGAACGGCCTGGACGCTATGTCCTGTTGCTCAGGATAACAGGAATAGAACTGAAACATTTTGTGTACGAAGGCTGCCTTAGGCCCATGTTTTCTAGAGGGTGTCTGCCCCTCCGAAAAAAATGGTGGTTTTGGGGGACGTGCCCAGAACACCAGCTCCTGGTAGCCCCACTGGGGAGATTGTAGCTGCTCTGACCCGGCCAGGAGTCCTGGGCACGTTTGCTGAAATGTGGCTGTAATCCTGAACAGGACTCAGTTCCTTTCCATGCCGTCATTCCCATAGCACCTGGCTTTGTCAAGGAAAAGACTTGATTCCTTCAAAGAGAAGGGGAGGTTGCTCCTGCTCTGGGCTGAGGAGAGCAGGCAGCAGGTATTCAGCTGGGCTGCTGGCTTGATGGGAAGGATAAACTTTTCCAAATGCCCATAAATGCTGCGTGCAGGGTTTTTTCAGTCCCAGAAAGGCACTGCACTGTTGAACTAAAGCCAAACCCAAAGGAAAGGACCTGCCTGGAAAGACACTGTGTGTGTAGGAGGAGGTTCGTTTATAAACCATTTCTACTTGTGCTCTGGCTTGTAGAGTCATTTCGGATTTTCTGTACTCAAAAAGGGTTACATGTTCCAGCTTAAAACTGGCTTTTGAGATTTAAAACCCCTTTTGGTGTTTTGGGGTTACTTGCAAGCAAAAGATCTGGGCAGAAAGTTGTCCAGAAGCTTTGGTTAACTTGAGATCCTATTATAAACATGCATGCAGTAAGTCAAATAATCTTGGGTTGCATCAGATTTTAGATATCTCGTTAGATGTGCTTGTGCACATTTCTTTCAGGGCACTCAGAGTTACAGCTGCCTTATCCTAGGCAGAATAGCTTTGGCTGAGAGTCAGGTTTGAAAATTTTTGCACTACAAATGTGTTTTACTGATAAGTTGCCCCAAAATAACAGGTGTCTACACAGAAGGGGGAAAACTGAGGCTTCAAGTTCTCTTCATTCAAAACTGGGTTCGGTGAGGTGCACAACAGCCAATTTTCTTGAGTAAGGCTCAGCTACTTATACAGTTAGGAATTATTGTTGTAATTCTGTTGAATTCTCTGTCTTTCCTGTTTCCAGTGTCAGTATTACATTTTGCTACCTTATGCATTACAGATATTTCAGCAGTAAGACTAGTTGTGTGCTAGTGTGGCAGCTGTAAGCAGAGGTATGATAGGCTTGAAATATGCCTGAATATCATTAATATGATTTCATGAAGATCAGTGCTTACAGGAACACAGAAACATTTTAAGCCCTAGAAAATGTCTGCGATGCCACAAGGTTGTTATCACACACTGTGCTGTTCCTTGGGACTCTCATTGTTTGAAATATTTCCAGTCTACAGGCTGAATTCACCTCTTTTCATGCTCTCAGTTTTTATGCAGACAATTGCACAAGATTTCTTTGCAGTTCACTCCTACAAATTCGTGGATCAGTTTGTTTTCATTCGCTTTTGTATTTCTAAGGTGACCATAATTCAGTATTCGCATATGTAATACCAAATTTCACTTCTTGATTCAGTACTAGTCAGACTGAAAAAAGTATTCTAGAGGCAAGCAAGCCAGCAAGCCCTGATAGTTTTTCAACATTTATGTTTCTGGGGAGTACCAGTTCTTCTCCAAAGGACCTTTTAACTTGCCTGGGATTCAGAGTTGTTACAGCACACTTTGGGATCGGTGGCTTGTAGTTCAGGTCATCTAAAACCCGATGGAAGGACTGGACAATGCAGCAAAGAATGAAATAGAAGCACGATCAGTTGAGAAGTGAACTATTCAAGTGAACTATTTTTACAGGTCCTGTTTGAGTTAATACTATTCTGCATATATTAACCTGCATATATTTGTTATCTGGGTGTGATTTATAGTTGGGGTTTTTGGCATTGTTCAGTACTGTGTTCGGACAGTTTTGATGGGGCATAGTTAACACTGCCAGCAACTCTTCAAGTGTTTTTACTGTAGAAGTTGACAATGCTAAATTCCAGTATCTGTTTTCCTGATTCAATATGTGACATTAAAATAGCAAGAATATTAGGCATTTAGGTTTGTAAAAATATAAACAGATTTGCTCATTTGATCAAACACGATGATACAAGTGTAAAAATACTTTTTATCATTTTTCCTAAAAAATTTCCTTTCTAGTTTCTACAAAGAAATGAGAGAAGCAGAATGCTGTAGTCACAGTCGTAGTCATAAGCACAGAAATGGCTAAAGCTAAAATGCACTTAAAGTTTAATGCTATCTTCCTGGAAGGAGGAAATCATTTTCAGATGTGTGATATTTTGGAGGTATTACAGCTGAAGGTTTACTTAAACATCAACAGTTTTGGAATTGCTGCATGGGGGAGAAATCAAATTCCACATCCCTTCAAGGCCAGCTTCTTTCATATAATAGTTCAGAGCTCTTCTGCTCCCGTGCTTGTTAAAGCATTTTCTCCTAGTGAACGGCTAGAAAAAAGTATTTAGAGTTAACATTTAAAAACTTGGAATTCATCTTGGCCAGGAGGAAATGTAATTGCTAAAAATTTAATGTTAAGATTTTCCAACTGAAAAAACAGCTGTTTAGTAATGAGAGATCTTCAAAATACCACAATAGGCACTAAACAGTAACTTCACTATGGGGTTTTTCAAAACGCTCTTCAATATATATGCATTATCTCTATCTAGACCATGTATTAACTTCACCCTTGGGTTGCTGAACATAATCCAATTAGAGAAGCCAGCCATGTGATGTATTTTTTACAATATGGCTAGCCAGTGAATAGTTCAACAGATAATTGACCATCTAGCCAGGGGCTATGTCAGGGTCATATGAGAAGAAAAGATAATACAGCTTTTTTGGGCTTAGAGAACAAGAATCACTGAGAAGAAGCATACATTGGGCAAGAGCCTGCCACTGTGTTCTGCGAAGCATAACAAAATAACATGAATAAATCATGGAAAAGCAATGGGTTTTGAACAAAGTTAGAAGAAACGAGGCAGAGTCATTAGGCCGCCTTCTGTTCCAGCTGTCCCTTGCTTTTCAGCAGCACGTGCACTTTCTAGTGATTCTCTTGGATCCTGTGTTAATGATAATCTCAGATTAATTGATCAAGCCTCTCTGGTTGCAGATTACTCCTTGGACACCTCATTTCTCACTGAATCTAACCTGGACATCTGAATTTTCAAATATGCAATTCTGGGAGAGAAATTTGGAGAAGAAACAAAAAAGTCTAGTCATCCGTACATATGTAAAGCCCGTAGGACGTGGCTGTATGGAAGGCCTTGCACACATGATACAAATACTGGCTTGCAAACAGCCAAAAACATCGCCCAACCTGTAAAAGCTCACCAGAATGCTTTGGAAACTATAGCTGTATATCATAGCAAAAGCTGCTACAGTATAAACATGCTGCATGAATCAACAGTTGATGCAGCTTCAGGTGATGACAGGTAGCAAAACCAAGAAGTGATGTATGCTCTATCCTCTGCCCAATTCCAGCACCTTAAAACCAGCAGCTGTTCCCAGCCGAACAATTCCTCCCCAGCACCCGCTCCCGGGCCAGCGGTGCCGGCTGGCATGATGCTCGGCAGAGACACAGAACCCCGCACAGTGGGCCTGCAGAAATGAATGTAACAGCAGAAAGATGCTGTAGCATCTCACTACATCATTGGGCTCAGACAAATATCTAAAATTCAAGTGAAGGAAACAATCTTAGTTGTTATGCGAAGTATAGTTTTTATTGGAGAGATTGGTTTATAACACATAGCAGGCTAGTGTTGCAAATAAGAAAAAAAAAATTTCTGTGGTTTATGTACATTTTTACCACATTAGTTTTCACTCATTCCCACTCTTCATGAGTCAATTTGAGATGGTATAGTATGCTGCAAAGATTAAAAACAATTTTTTTCTTTGGCAACTAGTACTTCACGAATCAACCATCTGCTGCCATTAAATCTATCTAGTTCTAGCAATACTAATAATTTCCTACAGTGAATAAAGGTTGAAGATGAAGTAACAGAATTTTCCAAAGTAAATTTTATTCTTTAGTACTTCAGACTAAAAATGTTGATTTATGGAAACTGGCAAGTATGTTCAAGGGAAATCATTTAAATTTGTTTTAATAAGGAATTGGTTAAGCCGTAGAAAGTTTCACTTACATCTCATTACATCATACTATGTTTCAGGAGTGAAACAATAATTTAAAACTTATTAAGCAAAACTATATTATGCTATGCTGGGATTTCTCTCCCCTCATGAGTACAGCTTGGTTTATGCATCTCTGTTTCTACAAGTCAGACTTGCAGTTTGTAGCCTGTTATCAAATTCTCTAAAGCACCTAAAAGAATTATCTTCTCCCTGGTTCTTCACAGCTACAAGCCCACGGCTCCCACTAGAGCTGGGACACCAGCTCCTGCAGGATATCGGTTACTTCCCGCTGCCCCTAGCTAATACTGATCCCCAAAAAGAAGCTCTGGAGAAATCCGAGTCTTGCTCCTATTTGTTTTTCAGGATCTGCAGGGATCTTGTGTCATGATGCAGCAAAGCCTACTTAATTAGCTCTGCTTTTTTGGCTGCTTGCTCCTGATCCTGTGCAGCGTGCTGGCCTCTTGGCTCCCATACGTGCTCAGAAGTGTCCCGGGGCACCTGGGGAACAACATGCTCAACTTGTTCTAAGCTTCGTCGCAGTTTGGAGTTGGAGCACCTCCCTGCAGAAACCCTCAGGGGTGTGCACTCAACCTGGCTGCCTTGTGCCGGCCAGTTCAGCACAGGGCACAGCAGCTGACGGCTCCTCCTCAGGCGTGGGGACGTTGGCTTCCCACGGCATGCCTTTTGCCACTTGCTCAGGACCTGCAGAGCTGGGTTGTACGTGCTCTTCAGCATAAGAAACAGGAACCCCTTGCGCCTGCATGTGGGAGAGGTGTCCTAGCTCGCAGGCTGTGAGGGTCATGGGGACAGGGCAGGGATCCCACCCTGCTGGAGAAAAAGGGCCGGTTCATAGCCTAGGCTAGAAGATTTGGGGGCCAGAAGGGCAGCAGGCAGGAGGGAGCCCGGCTGTTACCCAGGGCTGGAGCAGAAGACAAAGATCCTTATTCCTGCTTACTGGACTTTTAGTCATTTTCTGCTTCTGCGAGTTTCATCTTAATATAAAATGCAGATTCAAGTGGCCTGCAAGTGCTTGATGCGGGGCATGTACTCCAAGGTTTCTAGGCTCAGGGAGCGGCTTTGCACTGCTTGGAGGCTAGCTCTGTGGGGCTTTCCCCATCACCTTTCGGAGGTACCATCCTCTCCTTGCCTGTAGACAAAGCGTAGGTGCCAGGGTTAGGCCCTCTGGATTTCCCAGCTTTGTCTGACTGAGTGTCATCTGGGGGGATGCAACATGACCCACCTGACCTACCTCAGATGTCTGCCTCGGGGAAAGATGCATCACACCCTGGGAGTGGCCATCTCTCTTCACTGAGTATGAAGAGAACCCGTAGATGTTGAGAAGTAGGTGAGATGACTCCCATCCTGCCACCTGCTTTTTAAGTTGCGTGTCTGAAATATATGGCCTTGATTTGCATTAATTGCTAATTTAATTTCTTCTGGGTTTAGACGAACTATGGCATCATAGTTCACCACACTTCTTTCTTGTTTCTGCTGGAACCCCAGCACAGTTTCGTGCTCTTGGTGAAGCTGGTGGCTCAGCAGCCAGCTCTGTCTGAGGAGATGCTACGGCTGGAAAGAATAATAGTATTAAAGACTTCACTGTGAAGAGTGTCGTATCACAAATGCTTTGAAACTCGTTGAGTCATGTTACTTAAATGGGAAGCTCATTGTATGGTGTTTTTGATCTTGTTACTTATTTTAGCTCTCGTCCTTTGAAACTTAGCTTAATTGTGCATTATGAGGAAATCAAAGTCTGAATAGTCTTTCAAGTTGGGGATTTTAAAAAACGTACGCTGAGAATAAAGCTTGCATCCCTCTGTTGACTGACATGTCAGGAATGCAAAAAATAAAGACTTAATCCATTACTTTACCTATGGGTTTTTTTGAGTGGTGGTGTTTCTATTAGTAATTGGCTGAAATTTTGCCATGTAATGTTCATGTTCAGTGTGGGATCTGGAAGTGAAATTGTTCTTCCTCACTTCTGTGTCCCTCACTGTTAATGAAGAGCCTGCGACAAAATTGAGTCTCACGTGAATGATGTAAAAACCCAAGCGGAGCCTGGCTCTTGTTCAAAAAGGCAGGTTAGCTCCAGTGCTTAAAAAACAGAAAGTGCTTAAAAATTGTTTGTTTTTAAAGATGGCTGCTGGAACTCAGAGACCGAACAGTCTGAAGTATGAAAATAATGCTCTTACTGATGCTGTTTTCCCTGTGATTCCATATGACCCTGTGGCAATAGGTCCCAGCTGCCTCCTATTTAATCTGCCTAGGTTTTGTGCCCCAGAATTTGGGGCCGAGTGTTCAAGAAGGAATCACTTTAACCTCATCCTTCACCAAAAGAAAGGGTGCCCAGCTGAAATGGGTATGCATTTTTACTGCTTTAGGAGTGGTTTGTGGAGACCTGCCTAGATTTGCTTTCTTCCCAGGCTGCCGTCAAATTTTTGGGGTATTGACCTAAGTGCTTCATCAGGAAACTCATTGCCAACAAGATAAACCTGCTGCGAGAAACAAAGCTTCTGTCTCAGAAAGCTCAGGAGACGCCTTCTGTTCTTAGACTATCGCTGTCTTTTGTCATGGGATGCTCGCTGTGTTGCCAAGAATAAGGCAAAAGTCTTGGCTTGGGCAGCGCAGTTTGAAAGGAAAGGATAGCTTCTTGGCTCAAATTCTGCCACCAGCGAGAAGCCAGTGACTTGCTCTGCAAGTTTGGATTATTGCTTAAAGGCAGGCTACTCCAATACTAAGTTTTATGGTTTTGGGACATCCTAATTCAAATGAAAATGCTCGTTTTTGCAGATGGAGTTAGCAGTAGCACCGCTGTGTCGGCGAGTCTCTGACCTAGGAAAATCTTACAGACAGCTGAGGTCGTTCAGGTGAGTTGCAGTCGCAGGAGCTGGCGATTGGCAGTGTGACCAAACTGTGTTTCAAAACTGGTTTATTACCTCATGTTAGTTCTGATTGAACTGAGAGCTTTTTTGGCAACACCCACCTGAAAATTAGAAATAGATTAAAGTTCTTTTAAATTTTATGCAGAGTATAACTATGATTTAACAATCTTTGTCATGCAAATGTTGGCCAAATTGTACTTTTTTGTGTTGCTTTCAGTGCAACTTCTGTATGACAGTGAGTTCTATAGTTACCTTAAGTGTTTTCACTGGAATATAAAATTCACAGTCCTGTGTTGTTTAATTACAATAGGCAACTTGTGTAAATTTTTACAAACTGAACCTGTGTTGAAAACCTAAGATGCAGACTAGTGGAAAAAAATGAGGTGATTCTATCCTAACGCAATATTGCCACCATATAGGCATTTTTCTAAAGCATAAGATAAGCTTTGTCTTCCTTTCACAAGTATATCATTACATTTTTCCAGACCGCTGCTGTTCCAGACCAGTGAGCATATTGCCAGTAGCCCAGCTCTGGGAGAAGTTATTCCATTCAGCATTATTCTTCAGTTCTTATTTACAAGAGCACCACCAGAGTTAAAATCACCCTTCCAGGTAATAAAATCAACCTGTCTTTCCTCTTGAGATGACCTAAGGACAAATGAACGTTAGAGTTCGCCCTAGTTATTTTAGTTAGGAAGTATTCAAGCTCATGATTTATACGATTTGTTAGCTTTTGTTTTTATTGTGGCAAAGGTGTTATGGTCATTGAGTTCGTATTTTGATTAATTAACAGTAGGAAGATGATAACCTGATTTTAAGTAGACTCTCAATTCTTTAATATTCTGTCAACTCATAGAAGAAACTGCAGGTCTTATCCCAGACTGCCTGGATCCTGCTCATGTAAGATGCGGGAAATCTCCATTCAAACCTCTGTCAGAATTGGGCAAACAGCCGATGTAGGAGATCACCTCTGAGCTCCCAAATAACGTGTTGGGCTATTTCTGTTAATTGTCTCTGATTCCTTAACTCATTCTGCATCACTGCAGTATTAAGAGGGCCTCATGTGGCCTTCATTTATGTCATCTTTGATTCTGAAGTTGATGTGTGTGTTTCCTTTTTCACATTTATGTGTAATTGGTGTTTGTTTGTGTTTCTCTGTATCAGAGGGCTGAGTGGTCCATTGCCCGCTACTCCCAGTGGCTTGATGATCATCCATCTGAAAAAGACAGGCTTGCTCTCATACGGTAAAAATCATGCTTCTTTCTTCTCTACACTTATGATAATGGCAGAGTAACTTATCTGCACACCAGGGCTGGTCTTGAAAAGTAAAAAAAAATGTGCTATAGGAGATGTATCGTAATTACCATTACCCTCTCTCCACTCATGGGATGAGTTGTAAATTGGGAGAATATAGAAGCTGAACCCTCCCCTCCACCCCTGTACCCAAACCCTCCAGTGCCTTTGGAAGGAGCACATAATCCTCTTGCAAAAGAAGGAAACCATGCACAATGATGGTTTAAGCTCATACTGTGCTTTAGCAAAACTGCCTCTCAACTGTTGGAAAGTCAAGGCTGCAGCTGTCCTGTCTTCTGTATCAGGAAAGAGAAGCTGTGGAAGCTTAAGCAATGAAAATGTAGGTAGGAATTTAAAAACAGAAGACCGTTGTTGCACCCCTGTAATGTTGTTACTCAGAAAATCAGCCCAGGGTCTTTAGGAAGTGATAATTATGTCAGATTTCTTAGATCTTCCTGGGGTAGATGACTTTACAGCTAAATACTATTTTGCATCTTAAATGTTAGGAAAAGTTGTAGAGTCTTGTTTTTCAAAACAAGCAGATTTTAAAGTATGTTAGAGAGAACAGATGTGTTGTATGAACATGACAAAGCCAGCCTGAGGATCCAGAGGATTCAAGGCTCAGATGATCATTTGGCTCCTAATGCCCTAACTCTTCCAGCCATCCTCTCGGTGTCCTGTCCTGACCTCGCTGTCACCCACTCCAGTGGCAGGGGAAAGGTTGTCATGCAGAGCTTGGCCCGGAAGCCAACTCTGTCCTTGAACTTCTGTGCGTGAATGTTGCCAGCTTTTGCTGAAATCATAAAGCTGACTTTTAAGTTCCAGCCAGCAGTGGTTGTGCTTGAGAAAATCTACCATTATCTGTCCACACTTTCAAAGCAGCCAAGAGGAGTCTGCTATAAATATTTACAGTTCTTGGAGCTGATAGCACCATACAGCCCAGTGTAGTGCTCGGGCCAATTAAGAAAATGCTAGTTGATCACCAGTAGATGTTAGTAGGATTCATTTCCAAAATATTAAAATGCAAACTATGTCTTTTCTTATGTGTATTAAAAGAGAAGTTTTTGAAAATCATACATGTCGTTAGTCCAGTTTGGGTACAAAACTAGGTTTTCTTGAATCTCAAGCCATGACATCTTGAATTATAGGGAAATGGTTAACAGATACAGGGCTGATACAGCTGTATATGTAACTTAGTTATGAATATTTTGATTGTCATTTCTGTCCTGATAGTACTGGCAAAATTGACAATGTTGAATTTCAGATATGTTACGGAAAGCCAAGAATGCAAATCATTTGAGAACTGATGGGATTTTGTTCTCTTCAATCCTTTTACACAAATTTGAAAATACCATCCTTAAACTACAACACATTTTTGTCTTTGCTTGCAATTAGACTTCATCCAGACTGATTTGGTTAATAGGCTTGCTGGTGGTCATGTTCAGACACTGATAAATTGCTCTGGCCATGGAGGTATTAAGGGACAGGCCTTGGGACAAGGCTTTTAGGCAGAGAGTCATCCATTAGACCAAGTAGCATAGCTGGAATACTTAAGCTTTTCATTTTAATCCTTTCATTGAATCCTTTATTTATTTTACATGAGATACCACTATTAAAATATTTTTACTTTGTAATCTCAAGAACATGCTGCTGCAAGGTGATCACTTGGCAAGGTTATCACTTGAGCATTTTACGGTGAGACTGTGGTCCTTTTGCTTTGTACTGTGGAGTGCTCGGACACCCGTCCTCCCAGGGCACGGCAAGGGCAGCTTTGAAGATCTGCCCTTCCCAAGGGCCTCTGTTGGCAATCCAGTGGCCGTTCCCTGCTCCTGGTATGCCGGAGCAAGGCTGTTTGTCACTGCCCATGCTTGACTGCTTCTCCATCCATCCATCCCCAGGCCCACTGCTTGCAGGCACCACTCGTGCAGCTCTGCTGAGCCGCGTGAATTAACTGCACCGGATTTGTCAAGCAGTGGTTTGGTTGGCAGCTCGTGTAGCACCGCACATCCGGGAGCAGAGAGTGGAGCTAGCTGACCAACGCTGAATGCAGTGGGTGAAGGAGGTGGTTCTCCCTTGCAGACACCGGTAACCTCTGTAGGCATTGCTGCATGCACTTACCTTTTTACCATCTCCTCTCATGCCTGTTAGTCATTGCTAAATAGGCCGGTTATCCGTACATAAGGCAGGCAAGCAAACGTCAGTCACTGGTATGACCATGTTTCACTCCTACTTTCTTTAATACTCTACTGGAAGATTTCTGAGCCTGCTCTTCATGTGTCTCATGTGAACCTAAGTTGAACTACAAGCTTCTTACTCATTTGTCTGTAATCTTTTATCAGTCACCCTCTTCAAGCTTTTTCCACCTGTAGTTGTTCATCTGCGCTAATTGAACCTTGGCTCTTTTGAGCCTTCAGATCCCTGCACTGGCCTACATCAAGAAATGATCTTTACGTTTGCTGCAACCTTGCAAATGGTAATTTTCTGCAGCTTCCCTTTGTAACAACTGTGCAATTACTCTAGGGACCTGCTGCTTAGATATTAATTTACTTGTGTTATCAGAATCCTTACAGCTTCATATTGAAGCTAATTGCAGTGTTTCTTCCGCTCTGTAGATCTTAAATGCTACATATGCAATGTGGTGTTAATGTTATGAATTAGAGCATTCTGAGCATTTTTCTGTAATTCTTTCTGCTTGTATCCAGCATGAAAGGTGGGATTTACCTGGCCAGAGGTATATCACCTAGACTGCCTTTATAGTCAACAGAGAGAAACAGGCACTGCTGGGGCTGATTCATCTCATCCTGAAGTAGGTACCTAAAATAGGTCAGTTGCGTTGTGTCCTGAAAGCTCCATTTTCTCTGCTCAGTGAAGTGAGCGTGGGCTGGGACACGGGAGCTCTCGGGCAGACAGCTGCCCTGCAGGCATTTAAAGTTAGGTGAGATGACCCTGCCGCAGGCATCCTCCTGGAGCGGGGATTGCGTTGAAAGGAGCACTGCTTTAAGCAGCCAGGGCACTTTTTAAATTTTTTTTCTTTTTAAAATAAGTTTGAAAACTCAACCTTTCTTCCATAAAGAAACCTTCCTGTTAGATGTGGCAGGATTTGAGCCAGCCTGAAGGACAGTTCATCCACCCAAGGGCCGAATTCTTATCTCTACCAGTCGAGTGTGGGTAAACTGTCCTTATTCAAGTTCCCTGTTGCTGGAGCAGAGCTGAAAGCCAGGCCCAGCGAAGGGTTCGTTTTCATAATGAGCTCATTTCCTGAGCCAGAGAGTGGCTCTGACCACTGCCCTGCCAGGGGGCAGGGACAAACGCCAGCTTGGGGACCACCAGGAAAGCCCCATCTGCGTGTTAGGTTCACTCTGGCTAGGCGCGGCAGCGCGACGGCTTCGCCGCAGACGGCAGAGCCGTGCTGGGTCACTGCTCCGCTCTCTTCAACCAAGCAAGCAGCAGCCACGCAGTGTGGCCGGAGGGCTGCTGCGTGCTGCCTGCGCTGCCTGCGCCTCTGAGCGTTCCCCCTGCCAGCACCAGGCCATTCATAAAACCCCTCGGTGTCAGTTCTACTTGTCTGCCAACGCACAGTTCCTTCTATCTCTTTATTATGCAATCTGGAACAAACCAGAGATGTCTCTTGCTAATCTGGTGTCCTACAGATGATGCTGTTGGAGATTTAACTGTTTGGTTTTACCGTAACTTTTACAGCACTCGACTAAATAGATCTGGTGTCAGACAGATGTGCTTCTTACACAGCATATTTTCCATTTTCCTCTTTGCCCTGAAGTTTGCAGAGCAAACAGACTTTGTAAAGTACTAAAGAAAAGTCTTGGCCCTGCTGTCCTCCAGCTGCCCTGCTAATTGCTCGGGAGCTGAGGGCACAGGGTGCTTTCCGCCGCGGAACAGAAGGATGATTCCTGCCTCTTCTGAAGCTTACAGTTTAAATCAGGCTTCATTTGACCGAGTTCGAGCCCAGGAGGGTAGTGCTAGTATTCACAGTTCCGTGTAAAATTAACTAATTAGAGTAATTCTAAATTATATGCATTAAGATCCCTTTAAGAACCACAGCCCAAATCATACACTTTTTTTCCCCTGTTAACTGTAGATATAAATCTTCATGGGTTGAAATAACATTTTAAAAAATAACTATCTGGGTCTTATATAATCAGCTTGTCCTGATTTCCAAGAAAGCTCATGTTTTTGCTCAAGCAAGTGAAGTAATTTAATAAGTGCTTTAAAATCCTTTTCCTTATGTGGGAGGGCATCTTAAACTTAGATATTTTTTTTCCTTACTTCTTATGGCATTTTTAATGAAGCATTAATATATGCAGAACATCCCACCAACCCTCTTTCCAAAGCTCTCTTTTACAAACAATATTTGTAATGTATACCATAGCTTGTCTTTTAAAATAGAAACAGATTGCTGAACAGGTTTTATGTCCTTTATTAGACTGGAAGATGCTGAATTTAGGGCATTATTTAGTCTAATCCCTTCAAGAGTATGTTTTTGTGTATTACATAAACAGGGTTTCTTCCATCTTCTTAAACATCGGTAATAGAACTATAAATTACATCTTTTTATATGACAACAGCTGTGATCTCTTCTGTGCTGGAGACTTGATGATACTGCTTTCACCCATGATGCCGTTTATTTTTCCATTACTACTTGTGCACTAGTGTTTTTACAGTGTCCTCTACAGGAGCAAGCCTACCTTCTTTTAAGACAAGATTTTGTAAAAAAATGGTAAACCGGTGCATCTGAATTGAATTCTGTGCTGCCAGCAGTGGTTACAAAAGCTCATCTGAGCTAGGACCAGTAAAGTTTACAAAAAAGCCGTCATAAAATCTGCATTTCAACTGTTAACAAAGCTGCTAAGCTCATTTATCTCCCCAAATGAGGTACGCTATGTAGGCATCTCAGCAACTGCAGTGAAGACAGGCTGAGAGAATTGCAGTTGTT